AGTTGTTTATACAAGTTACTCAATGTCCGATGACCGGATATCATCAGCAATAAACCAACTTCCATCTGAAGAGGAAATTAAGAAAAGACGTTGGAAGTGGACAGGCTACATATTGAGGAAATCGCCAAATAGCATCAAGATACAAGCTCTAACTTGTAATCCTGAAGGCAAACGGAGAACAGAGAGGCCAAAGAACACACTTTATCAGGATTTGGAAGGAGACATGAAAAGAATGAATAGCAACGGAAAAGATCAGGAAAGGATTGTCTAGGACAGAGTTGGATGAAGAATACTAGTGGTCAGTCTGTGTTCCTCAACAAGGAGTAACAGGCGTAGATAAGTAAGTAATTATTCTATATATGATGCTTATCTGTTAAAATTTTTTAGCTTTGTAAAACCTACCAGTTATATCCACTTTACATTCACACTAATTTATAAAGTAATTTCGGATAATCTAGCAATTAACGAGAAACAAACTATGAAAATCTATTCAAAAAACTTACAGTCAAATGATCATTCTTTAAATGTTTCATTCATATTAAGCATTAACTAACTAACGATTTAAATGGAAGACCAACTTATTCACTCTATTTTTCTATCATTTAAATATGAAGTAGAAAATAACAAACAATTTAATTCATTTCTAAGGTCACTTAACAACATACATTAGGATACTCTTATAAATACAAACTTATATCATTCTTGCAAAAAGTTTCTCTATTTAAAATGAACTCCAGTTTCTCTTTTTTTTTCTTTTTTTTTGAAAAAATTGACCTGAAAAATTATAATTACACTCGTAAAACTTTAATTTTTTTTTGTTTTTGGAAGAAAAAAAAGAACGAATGTGCTACAAAAAAAAGGGGAAAGAACCTTGAATAAACTCTTTCATCAATAACTTTTTTCTATTTTTTTTAATAGAGTAAAATAGTCATAGAGGAAAACTGTTTATTATTTTATTGAAAAACTTAATTGTATCATCTCTTATTTGTTAATGGAATACTTTAACTGATATAATAAACCCCTATTAATTCTATTGGATATATATATATTGTAGTGAAGGAGAACACAGATGAGAACAACCGAATTATATTTAGCACAACATTACAGAGTTACTCGGTAAAATAGAACAACCATACTATAATACCTAATTTTCAAAATGTTCAATAATGATCTCGGACTTCATTGTTCTTGCATTTCTATACTAATTGTTCTCTATTCCCGTTTTTCCTTTTTTGATCTTCCCAATCTTCTGCTTCCAGACATTACATTCCTGACTCACGTTATATACTACTTATGCTAATATAAGTAGCATGCACCACACTCGTCCCCCTTTTAATAAGGTGTCTTCGTAGTCTTTCTGATCGCTGTACAGCTGTCTTCTTTGGTGCTGTTCGTGAGTTACATTCATAATGATTTTGAAACTATCTCTGCAGTTGACTGATATTTTCTCTCTTCTGCTTGTCTTCTCTCCGGATCGTGTAAACCGAGCCACGTCTCTCCGTGATAATGTACGGTCCTTCCCACTTTGGGATCAGCTTTCCCACCCTAATCCCCGTTCTATGTTACTTTTCCGTTCTCTACACTTTATTAGGTCCCCCACTGCAAAAGGTTTCCACGTTCTCCTTTGTTGTTGTGCTCTCTTTATATCTGATATTTGTTTCTTTTCCACGTTCCTTACTGCCTCCCTCCTCTCTTTTCTTAACCTTGTTGTCGTCCACTCCTTTTGTTGTGGCCAGGCCTTATTATGCATTGGTAGTCGTGGCTTTTAGCTATTGATGACCAAGAAAGATGACTTCTTGGTTGTTCCTTGTATGGAGGGACGATGCACCACAATATATACATATATATATGAGAAGAGAATAATTTTAAATTGATAAATATAATATATTCTGAGATGATGGAGAAGATTTATAGCTCAGCTGGATGATTTTGATGGAGTTTATACTGATGATTTCATTCAGAAGAATGATGAAATCTCCACAACTAAACCATTCAGCTTAAAGAATAAAATTTCATTAAAAATAATACATTCTTACCATGTTTTTTTTAAATACAAAAAGTTTAATGAAAATATCATGAGAATAAAGAATTCATTACACTTTAATCATAAATTAGAGGCCTATTTGAATATCTGGGGTATCTGTAGATATTTCAATAAGTTAGTTACTTGATTTGATATATCATTTTATTTATTAATTGCACAACCGATTAAGGTACGTTTATGAACAATGTTTACTGATTTTCTCTGTAAACGTTGCACAAAACTGCCTAATCAGAGACATTATAGTTGCTGACAACATACAGCGAAAAGAATGTACATTATTTAAATGTCAATTTCTGGATAGCTTACTTCTATCTGGCGACCACTCAGTACTTGTCGTAAGGATTGACCAAGAATTAAGAAACAGAAACTTGTTAAAATATTTTGTGCTGAGAATTGTATATTGTACCAAAAATATAATATTGAATAAATGTTAGGTTTGAAGCGGTTACGAGTTCACTTAGACTGCGAACGGAACAAAAACTTATGACCAAAGACCAATAAACTAGCTAATCTATTGCGTCCTGGCCCCGCTAACTAGAGAGAGAAGTCGAAGTCCGAACGAGGAAGTATATTCCGCAAAAAGCCAGAAAACGAGCGATAACATCGGACACGAATCAAAACGTATATATACAGCACAAAACCGTCCTTGGGGAGAAATAAAAAATAGCATACTAAAAGATACAACGGACCAATAGCATTTAAGATTCTCCCAAGTGGGAAATACGACATGAAGATGAAATGAGTGCTTTTGACGTGAAAACAAAGAAATTCAAATTTTATAAATAAAATTACAAAATTAGGTTTTTTTTTCCAAGTGAGTTCTGGGGATCTAACCTTTCTGTGTAAAGATTGTAATAAAAAAGTTAGTTTACTTCACTTTCAAAACATTATTCATATAATTAAAACTAGATATAATGTGTGTTGATTAAAGCGGTTTGTATCACTATCCAACGTCAACGACAATAAAAATGTCTCATTACCATAAATAGTTATGATAATTTTAATCGGTAAAAAGTATGAATATTTTTTGATCAGGTTATGATCTATAAATTTACAAACTGTATGAACTCATTTTCAAATTGCTTCAGAATTATCATTATATATTTAATGTACCCTTAATAATGTAAACTTTAGTACAGAAATCCAAATTTATCATCTGAAATCTCATAAGTAACATACTGTCAATTAGAAAAAAACAGTGTAGTAAACAAGAACACCAGTGGGGAACAATCGGATGTATTTAACACATAATTACAAGACTTGTTAATAAAATCTAACGATCATATAGTAAATGCTTAATTTGCAAAATGTCCATCAATTGTCTCGAAATGACTCAGACTTCATTGTTCTTGTATTTTCATACAAATTGCATTCTGTTTCCATTCTTTACTGTTTCATCTTCTTGTCTTTCTGCTGCCAGACCTTCTGTTCACGACTAACATCATATACCACTTATATCAATTTAATTATCACACGCCACAACAGTACTATTCTGGTATGTACTACTCGTACGACCAGATAAAAATAGTATATGTCAACTGGATTATGAAGACCTCGACATCTGAAGGAAAACACGGAATACAATGGAAAGCTCAGAATCAATAAGACGATTTGGACTTCGCAGACGACCTAGCCCTCCTATCATGTACACACGAACAGTTGCAGATGAAGACAGCCAGTGTAGCACCAGTCTCTGCATCAGTAGGCCTCAGCATACACAAAGGGAAAACCAAGGTCCTCAAATTCAAGGCGGAGAACAGCAATCCAATCATTCTTGATGGCGAAACTCTGGAAGATGTAGAGTCCTTCACATACCTGGGAAGCATCATCGATGAACAAGGAGGTTCAGATGCAGACGTAAAGGCGAGGATTGGCAAAGCAAGGGTCGCATTCCTACAATTGAAGAACATATGGAACTCAAAACAACTTTCAACCAATATCAAAGTGAGAATCTTCAATACGAACGTCAAGGCAGTTCTACTGTATGGAGCTGAAACTTGGAGAACTACAACAACCACAATCAAGAAAGTAAAAGTATTTATAAATAGCTGCCTACGCAAGATACTCAACATCCATTGGCCGGATACCATCAGCAACAGCCTTCTGTGGGAGAGAACAAACCAACTTCCAGCTGAAGAGGAAATTAGGAAAAGACGATGGAAATGGATAGGACATACATTACGCAAATCTTCAAACTGCATCACGAGGCAAGCCCTAACTTGGAATCCTGAAGGGAAGCGAAAAAGAGGAAGGCCAAAGAACACATTGCGTCGGATAATAGAAGCAGATATGAAAAGGATGAATTACAACTGGACGGAGATAGAAAGTATTGCCTAGGACAGGGTTGGATGGAGAATGCTGGTGAGTGGCCTATGCTCCTTCACGAGGAGTAACAGGCGTAAGTAAGTAAGTAAGTAAGTAAGAATTGAATGTAGGATTCTAACGGACAGGAGAGGAATATGGTAAAAAGAGAAAGAAAAATAGAAAGCACTCAAAATAAGAACAGGAATGGAAGAAAGATAAGTTTGTAAGAAGCAATTCAAGGAAGATTGGCAAATAATGTATTGCGTGATTTTGAGTATTAGACGGTTTTCTACCAAATGCCTCTTTAATTACACCATTAGAATGTTAAGACGAAAAGTAACTCATTTTATTACTATTAAATTTTAAGGCATGGTACATCTGAACAACAAATCAACTTTGACATAAATGGAACAATCATCCAGTTCTCACTAGTTTCCAGTAGTTTTCCAATTGATGTCAATCTTGATAAAAAAAACCATTTGGGATTCATCTTCGTCAAAATTTGATATTAGTGTTTTGAGTTTCTAAATTTTTAATACTCAAGATTACACTTAAGATTTATCTCCCAAACCTGATTTGTTCTATTGTAGGTCATGCCATATTATTATTATTAATATCATTATTTTGTTCTTCACTTCCAATAAATTTTTAGACTCAAAAAGGGACAAGCCAAATCTCAGACTGTGGTAAACATTATGAAGATCATAGTAAACAATTGTCTAGATATATGATGTATATTGGTAGGAAACTAATCAGCTGGTTTAGCCAAACAAGTACCAACAATGAGGTTTTTAATCATAATGATATAAACGAAAATTCAATGAATTATCATTCCGATAACAAAATTTTATATGAAGATTCTATCAGTCAAACTGAACATGAAATGTACAATATTAATAGTAATAATAAATCTACACTCCAATGGACATCGAATGGTGTAAATATTCAAATACCTACTATAGAACAAGAAACATGGAATCATTTGGAACGTACCAGTTGGTTACCTTATTTAGATACAGTTGATGATTATCTAAGAAAGGTAAATAAACAAAGGTGTATAGATATATTGAAAGAATTGTTGAATTGTCATTTGATTTTTTACAGTTGTACACTAGTATAAAGTATCTATTTTTAACGATAAAAAGATGAAGTGGCTACTTTAAATTTTGTGTACTTTAAGAGGATAAATATTGACTGTACTTCAAAGTTACCAGTGACAGTTGGTCAAAAGATCTAAGGTTTCAAAATACAAAATAATATCATTTAAAGGATGGTAATTCATATTTTTTGGTATTTTTTCCCACATGATGACTAACAAACTAACGACTAATTTACTAAAATGTGCTTGGTGAAACTAGGCCCGATTAAATGTGGAGGGTTGAGCTAGTGTTGGCGACCCCATCACCTAGAAAACTAACTTGCTAAAAGTCGTTAGCCAGGAGAAATAATCTAGACTATTTAAACTCTGCCCTGAGAGTTAAATATTCATTTAGAAAAGTTATGACACCTCATGGTGAAAGCCGAGTTCCTTCGGAAGTCACGAGGTCGATGCCTCTTCTGAAAACCAGAGCAACAATTAATTTAGGTACATGGAATGTTCGTAAAATGTAGAAGACCGGGAGAGTTATCTAAATTGCTGCAGAAATAAAAAGATACAACCTTGAGGTGCTTGGAATCAGTAAAACACATTGAACGCTTGATGAAACAATTTCTTGAACAAACATTCATTTAAGAGAATTCCGTAATATTCTTATCAAAACGAATTCGTTATTCATTCTCTATACTAATGAAAATGGTTTATCATACTACAGGATTGTTAATTCAGCTGAAGGTAAAAAATAAAACCACTATAAACTAAGAGACAAAAAACACTTTCAGAGAAAACCATGGTAATAAACTTTTCTTAAGGATTCATTTATTAATGAAATTAAACCAAACTAACCATACTTAATAAACGTATTGAATAGTTTCACTAGGAGAGTTCACATTCACAAATGTTCACCTATCTTATGTATCATAAAAATTCTTAATAGTTTGTGACTGATTTACATCAAATCATGAGCGAAAGACCATCAAAATTTAATTATCTTAAATTTTTTGTCACTGTTAATAGATATAGTTTAGTCTACCCAGTTGTACATATCAAACAGCTTATATCTGTTGAAGTAAATTACAGTTATGACAATCAACATACACGTATCAAGACATTCCCTAAATGTCATCTAAGTTGATCAATCCTTTCTGTAATTTGTCAATCTTGTAACTATCTGATCAAATCTAAAAGCGACTAGTTTAACGATCATCAATCACTGTTAAAATCACATAACATGTGGTATTTTAAAACAACCAGTTACCTGAACAAATAGTTTTCATCTCAATAGTTATGAGTTCGAATCATGGCACATCTGCTTCTAATTCTTGGTACTCAGAAATAAATTTAAAACTTGAAATAAACTAGTTTGTTTATTGAGCTTTAAATTATTGAAACAATTTGTATGTAATGTACATAACACTAAGTGATTCATTTCATTATCCAAAAAGACTTACCTATTTGTGCATACTTCTATCTAATACTCGGCAAGATTTCATATTCACAGATATACAGAATAATCTTAACGTTTGTTAAGTCAATAAACTGACTAATACAAAACATATGTTGTATTCAGTTTACAATTGTAAATCCTGCTGCTACTTGATCATTAACCATAAAATATACAAGATTTTAAGTAGAACTTTATTTGTTTAAAACAGCCTATCAAATATCCGATTTCCTAATTGTTCAACTGAAATGTTCTTTACTCAACTTTTTGTATAGACAAGAGATGATCTGGATACGAAAGTTATTGACTACTGGGCACCATATGATCAACTTTTAGCTAATCTTCTTACAAACCCATGGCTTGCACCAGCATATAGGGCATTAAATACATCATGGTTACAAGAGAGGCGTATATCATTCATGGATCGAACGTATTTTGGTTTAGTATCAAGTGATTTTTACTCGGAAGATGAAAACCAATCGTCAAACGATTTAACCGCTTTAAATGGTGCCAGAGAAACACAATCTTTAATGCTAGCAAATTTTATTGGTGTTCCACAACCTGCACATGCTCGTTTGGCTGGTACAAGAATTTGGAATAGGTAAGCCATTTGAAATAACATAGTTATGTTTTTGCTAGCTAATTCATCCTCTTATCTAAACAGACGTGTTTGCCGATGAAAAATAAGTTGAAAGAAATCTAGAGAAGATCAAATCAAAATTTGACATCAGACTGTGATCTCAGCGATTAGTGGTCCGAGCAGAGTTGGCTAATCCAAACTATATTTTTGAGATAATCTATTGAGTTCGTTGGAAGTTCATGTAACCACATATCATTATAGCATAGCAAGGATGTAAATACAAATATTATGTAAAGGAACACTCTACAACACTGGTATTAAAACGAACGAAGGCTCAGGTAGTGTATTATGTAAATTTACACACTGTGTTTGTAAAGTATGAAAACAACAAGTTAATTATACCATTTACACGTCTTTCTGAACACATCAATCAAGTCTCTGACGTCCGATAATAGTGTCTTCAGTAAACTTCAGAAAACTGGGGATTAGCTATTAATTAATCACCTTGTAAGATTTGAAGGTGTCGATGTGATATCCTGTATCCAAGAGATGTTTGGTAACTGCTCTGTCTAAAGTAGTTCTCTGTTCTAATTGAAGGCTTTTTGGAACATGTCCGAAAAATCTCAAATATGCCCACTTTTCTTTTAGGCCAACGTAGCTGCTGTGAAAGTTGAATGTACAGTTGACGGTACATCAATGGAATACTTGTCGACTTTTTATGGAGTTACTGAACACATTGTTTTAAACAGAATCACTTGTTCGGCTGCTGGGAGGTTCTGGTTAATACTTCGCTAAACATCCTACTGATTGTGCTTTTGCTTTTCTCAACTCCGAAGTTGAAATTGACATTTACTGATTTTTTATTGGCTATAGGCAAATCCGTCTTGTTGTATTTAATCACTTTGCATTTCAGTAGAGAGATATCCAATAGAGGTTAACAATCACTTTAGTCTCTTAATCATTAATTATCTTAAACATTACAAAATGGAATAATATTACCAATATAATCAATAAGATTTTTACCCCTTCGAATTTCTGAGTTGAGGAGATTAAATTGGTAAATAGGTTAACATTGTCAACTAGCTGATATTTGTGCGCCTTGATCTTTGCTTTCATCTATAGGATTATTGCTAATGACCCATATACTTGTATTAAAACAAATTAATTAATTAAATACTATGATTATTTTACAAAATATAGATCAGTCTATGATTAAATTTATCAAGTATTTTTGTTATAAAAAAAGGTGTTTCTTCCTAACAACAAGGTCAATAAAATAATCTCCTTTGTTCTACTAACTTCTATTAAGGTCTTTTTTATTTCCGTTGTACTAAATATATAGATATATCTATATATATGTAAATACAAATATGGGGGTGTATTACAAGCATTTGTATAGTGGATACTTCCATAATCAGGAATAAAAGAAATCAATAATTAGGTCTCCTTAATAATAAGCTGATGAAAAATAGTCATAAAGTTCAGAGTGAACTCTTTTATGAAAAAAATTGGATAGTTTTATTTCATTCATTCAAGCAAGCACTGAACCTTAGATTAGAGAAACTTTTCTCGGGTTATATATTTCAGAAAACTACTGGAACTCATTTTATAGTTAACTAGACTTGACTTTCATCCCAAAATTATCTAGATCGGTGCGATTACTGAAAAGTTATAGATTTGTCAATGATTATTATTGATATATCTGGTGAATAAACAAACTAAATATGTGTACATACAACAGTTTAGTATGTTATTCATTGTCTTGAATCAATATTGAAATAATATGCGGATGAATACATTAAACTACATTGGTTTAAAGTGATTATCATTATTGCATCACACTGCGACAACATCACTTTACTGCATAATCATAGAGATATTCTAGATATGAATGTCAGAGATGTTCTCTTAAACAGCTTTTGGATTATAATGAATCAAAATCAAAGATCTGTCGAAACTTTTATGAATAATTTTGACTCACTAAATTGTTGACTTTCTACCTTCAGCATCACATAAGTGAAAGAGCGTGCTAATTTGTTGTTATTATAAAGGAGTCTTGAAGATTTCTGTCTTTGTGAGTTCTATAACAAAATGACTGAAATTAAAAATATTGACCAAATAGTACCAAGTCAATGGCCTGAATGTTTGGCACTCCCTGGAGGTTCATAGGATTTTGAGTTCGAGCCCTTTTAAGGTTGTAAATATTCATTCCTGGCGAGTTTCATCCCAAAATGACACTGTTTACAGCTTTTCTCCATAATATTTTTAAGCAACAAAGATAAATATCTAAAAAGAATCTGGAATGAGTAAAGAAGAAACGTATATGTGTATCTGTCCAAGTTTCCAAGTATCATTTCTGTACATTGTAAGAGAAGTCGTTGCCAACTGAAAAGGAAGAAACATTTATAATAAGAATGGTAATTCAGCTGGTTTACTTAACACCAGAAATATAAAATATAATGGATAATCGGGGTCAAAAACTGAAAATTACTGGATCATACAAAACTAAAGGCTTAAAAGTAAATTAGAAAGTTAATAAAACTTCGTCACTACTTTTAATTTTAGCTCGTATCAAACGAATAAAACAAATGAGTTCTAGTACGAAGCAGTGACCAGTGGAATTCAACCGGGTCTGTTGTGAGATAATAACTCACTGATGGCACTGGTGGATGTGTCGCTCATTTTCGTGGATTAATTGAAATTAGACATTAACACTGTTGAATGCCAGCTGTTCCAGTGATCTAGATGTTAGGCGCTCGAGCGCGAGACTGATATGTCCTGGGTTCGAATCTCGTGAGGCGGATTCGTGGATAGGCACTTCTGAGGAGTCCCACAATAGGACAAAACGGCCGTCCGTTGCTTCCAGATTTTTCATAGTGGTCTTCAATTGACTCATGATCTCAAATACTACAATTACTATAATATTCACAAAGAAACTCCTTCTGATATGAAATAAATGATAGCTAATTGTCTGACTATGATTTCTTTCATTTACATATTATTCCCTCTGTTCCATATTCCTAATTCATTATGCATTCAATTACGTTCAACTGATATATTTCTTTATTATGAGTTCTTTTGTTTAAAAAATCATATGACTGTCTACATATCTATTAATCAAACTACCTACATGTCTATACATTTATCTGTCAATCTGTCTATCCTGTTTATTCTGTTATGATGATGAAGATTAGTGTCTTACTTTTGAGTAAAATAAAGAATATAGATTGAGGTATAATTTCTGTTTTCCTATTAAATGCCTCACAGTTTTTTCTATTAAATACTTCAATTGATTCATTAATGTTTATGAATGAAACAGACTGAAAATTTTAGAGACTGATCAATTGATTGTCTGTTAGAAAACAGAAAGTTCTTTGAAAATCTTTACAAAAGTAAATAAATAGGATTAATGTTGGTATCAAAATTAACTATTATGTAATATTGACTTAGTGATGGCTTTTTAGTGGCCCATGATCTGACTACAATTGGATTGTATGAATGTTATTGAAATATACACATTGTCTATCCTCGTATAAATTTATCGACTTAATCCGCTTTAATGTATCATGGAATTTAATAAGTCAAATACGAGAATGGATTTTCGAATGCATATATTTTGTATATTCATTGATCTGGGGCAGGCAATCAGAGGGACAAAGCGAAGAGAAGAGAGTGAAGTGAAATGATGCACGGTGGAGAAAGTGTGTGAGCCAACCCCACTTAATCAAGCGGTAATCAATATTTATAGTTACACAAAAATAAGCTACAAACATGTGATGAGTAGGATAAGAAGTGTACACACATACTCTCATTAAAAATGGTCAAGGTTGATAAGCGATTATGTGACAAGGTGAAAAGGTGACTTAAAAAGAAAAGATAAATTGGACTGTCTAGATCCTAGAATAAGTTATATGGGCTTGACATAGTAACCGCCACTACAGCTTTATCGATAAATTATCCCATTAGCTAATATTTGATTAAAATGTCTCTACAAACTTAGTTACTTAACAAAAAAAGTTTCTGAGTTGTAATTACCAAATGTATCATCTTTCAATGAATAGTTTGATCTTTTTTATTTATCTTTTGAACGAAACATTTTAACAACATTTAATTTCACAAAGTGGAAAACTAACAAGACCTGAAATTTTATAGTTTAACAGAAATCGTTTTAAATCAGTTAAATTATACTGAATGACCATTGCTTTACATCACGGAGTTCGAAACATGGGGCATTGGATTATATTTTATGGTTAAGTGTTTGCAACTAAGCCTGTAGGTCCCGGGTTTAGTTGCTAACCAGGCAGCAGGTTCATATTAATCTTGAATTCAAGTTGAAGAATACTTGTAGTCTGTAATAAGAAATTGAAGTTAAAACTATGCAACTGTTCTACTTCACGAACGACTCTTAAAGTGATCTGGTACTCGGATCATGTTTTGTCTGATACAGTGATGGTGTTCTAAACATAATTTACATAGTGTTTCTAAACAAAATCTTACAGAGTTTGTATAATAAAGAAATTAGAAAAACTATGTACATTTTTCGTTGAAGTTTATTCTCTCTGAGGTAAAAGTAAACAATATAATGTTCTTTAGAATCCACTGTATTCTTTCAGATATAAACTATTATTATTATCACCAGTATTATATTTTTGGTACAATATAGAATTCTCAGCGTAAAGTATTTCAACAAATTTCCGTTTCTTTCTTCTTTGTCGGTCCTAGCGATAAATATTGAGTGGTCGCCAGTTAGATGTTAACAGTTCAGTAAACGAACATCTGAATAATGTACATTCTTTTCGCTGTATATTGCCAGCAACCACATTGTCTCTTATTGAGTTTTTTGTAACTTTGACAACGAAAGGGTGTACACTTTTCAGAAACGCAGCAGAATACATTATGCGATTAATAAACATAATGATATATTAAAACAAACAAAAATAGATATCTTGTTGAAATATCTAGATGGCAAGAACAGGTAGCCCCTAAGCTCAAGCAGGCCGCCCTTTATTTGCTGCATATATACTTGATGCATGCTATAGATTATCCAATTCACTTTAAAGATAACAATTTACATTACTAATTAATGCCTAGTTATAAAGTGCCTCAGTATGATTGGATGGTTATATCAAACTTGAATGTACTAGAGATGCATTTTTATGTCCCAAGTGTGTAATAAATACTCAGATAAAACATGGATTGCCACAATTCCCATCTATTGTTTCTCTTTTTTTTTTAACAGTTTTCGTAATCTAGTTCCAGGTTTGCCGAGCAAATTCTATTATAAATTAGAACCAAGTTCATTATCGTCATTCTCTTCATCATCAGTTTTAAATAAAGATGTTGAATTTCGAAGAAAGCCAAAATTGTATCATGATCATCGACAAATGTTATCCAGTGAAGATTGGTACCATATTCCAAGTGGACAGTTGGATTTAGATGAAAAATTGAATGTTGACTCATTTACTGATTTAAATACACAATTCTATCCGTAAGTCAAATACAACTATCATGGATAGTAATTATTGTCATAATCAACATTTTCTGGTCATATACACTTGACAATAACTAGCATTTTATATACCATATCCTTGACTACGTTGCCATAGATTACTTTTTTGCTAATATCAGATTTCACAAAACTGTTGAATCTTAACGGTCACTAACTAAAAACCTCTAACGTTTTGAAGAGTTTTAACTTCAATGTTTATGAAATATACCAATCCTTTTCGGTTGAATAATCTTACATCCTAGAATATTGTATGCAAAATGGACATAACAATCTAATATGACCAACTGAGTTTTGGTTGATTGATTAATATATCAAAATATTGTTCAGTGTTTGATGCAACAAATTTTTGTATTCTTATCTCATTGTTAACAGTTTAAGCTTATTCAAATGACTATGCTATTCTCAAAAAGACTAGTTAATTTATCAGATAAGATCTAGCTACAGCTACATCAAAACTTTATAAAACTTGTTATCAATCGAAATTGTTCACATCTAGCACATTATCATGGGCCATGATGCTTACTTATACAAATGAAATATTAAAAAGCTTGTACTGTTATACAATCTAATATCACTGAGTATGAAATTCTAATGACTTGGTTTGTAAATGAATTCAAGTTTTGGGAAAAATCTATTTCTAATAAAATTACATATCTGTTTCAGTGATAACCATTGATATATGAATACAAGTTTAGTATGATTTAGCTTACCACTAAAGTTTACGGAAATAAAGTTGAGCTTTCATTTTAATCATGATCTTCTACTGAAATCTTTAAATTCATCATGATTATACTAGACCAATTACAACTCAATCATAAAAAATACTTAAGGTTATGATATTTGTATTAACCTAATTTAATTATCATACTGATATAAATGTTAGTTCCTTTGGCATATACACATAGAAATAGGTATTTGTACAACTATATGTTCAATTCTACTTCAAATTCTTCGATATAGCTACTAAAGATAAGAGGTGTATAGAAAAACTAGCTAATTGTTACAGTTATCATAATGTCAGTATAAAATGAATGATTATTATATTCAATGTATGTTAGAAAATATATGAAGTATAGTTGAAAATTATAGATTAAATATTGTACAATACATGAATGTGAAATATGCAATCATAGTATAGACTTTATGAACTTATTTTATACATAGAATATAGAAAGGTTATTTGAGGAAAAAGAGAAAGAGAGAATTTACTGCATTTTGGTTAAAAAGGTATTTAGATATGCATACACATATGAAGTGCAATTTTCACTCCAATAAAATACACTTGTTTCAGGTATAGATATAGGTATTTGCAAATTGTGTAGAAATTCGATAACTTCTTAAAAACTCTATAACATACCTTAGATGTTTTTATCTACCATAAAGTGTGTAATTATATATAATAAGATATTTATTAAACTATGTTGAAGTTAATGACAAGATGAATAGACAAACTTACCCTCACACTTACACACACACAAGCACACATGGTACAACTCACGTAGTGCTACTTTTTCATCTCACCATATTTCTTCACTTGGTTAGAACAAATATGATATTTAGGCTACTTGTTAGATTAATTGTATTTTAGTTAGTTTTTTAAAGGAAAGTAAGTAATTATTTATATTCATACATAGTAATAAGCATATCTGCATTAAATGTAACCTAATAAATAGTATAAAGTAATGTAAAACTTTGTCTATCCAAAATCTGAAATATATTCAGATTATCTAACAATCAAATAAATGATTGGGTGGTAACAAGAATAACACCAAAAAAAAAAAGAAAGATAATTCGGTAAAGTAAAAATAAACTTATTTAGCTTATCAATGACATTTTCAGTTTATATCTTCAAAAGGGCATATTGAATGTAAACCTGTTTTTAGTAAAATTAAATTCATTCAATGTATAATGTTAGATTATGTTAATCAGTGAACTTAATCGTTAGTTCGAATAGAATACTTTTAACTAAACATTTTAATTCACCTAGATTTCGATAAGTTTTAGGTAAGTATTGTTATTAGGAATTAGTTTGGTGTTATCAGTATGAATGAATGATTTCGTCAGAAATATAAGGCCATATAAAATAGTTTTTAAGCAAAGATGAATAGTGGCTAGCAAGTACATCCAGATGACAAGTCCCAAACAGGACGAAACGCGCATCATGGATTCCACTGCTAGCCACTATCCATCTTTACTTAAAAAGCTTGTGATTTAAGGTAATATTGAGGCAATCCGCACAGGATGCACATATGCTAACATGAGACTGATCAATTGCAGTCCTAAATAACAATGGGAAGATACAAGTAAAACAACACCAAGTGAATTCACATAAAATAGTGTTTTTGATGGATCGAAGAAGAGTTTATGTTAGTTTCTTTTAGTATTCAGTTATTTAATTTCATCAAACAAGCCTACCAATCAATTTTATTTAAACAGAATCTTATCATATCCGATCATTTATCGGTTTTAGTATGATGGAAGATGTGTCTAATCAATACCTACTTTCAATATTTAGTCCCCCCCCCCACAAAAAACCCGGTTATTTATGTCAAAGACGTATTATACTCAAGGTATTTTGTATTTGGATACAGACAATGAATATTATCTAGGCTGTTGAACTGTCTTCATTTAGTAGAATTTTATAGCCTGACAGTTTCCTCACTAATGACATAGATTAACTTTATCGTGAGACAATTAAAAATCATCGTTTTACAAATAAATCTCTATCAACTGATAAAAATTTCCTCTCTTTGACATCGTACCCAAACATTAGTTACTTCGATGTTTATACTTGTAACTTCTTTTAGCGTATGAGATAATGACTTAATTTAAACTTGGTACATTCTGTGAAAGTCCTTGATAAGTCACCAGTATTGACATGCTTCACGAAAGAAATGTGTTCGCTGGCTGTGTGGTCGTCAAGTTTTGCAAGTGTTTATCTACTGATTAATATTCTAGAAAATCTGTAGACATATAAAAGTACACTAACCAGGATGAAATAAAGGTCGAATTCAAGCAATGATATGTACTGTATAAAATGAGACTTCAGCTAGAGTACAAATAATGATATTGTATTATAGTATTATTATTCTTCATATTTGTTTGCTTCAACTGTAGTAATCTACCACGAATACTTAAAACAAGTATCGTACCACTCATTTTCAATCTATTTTAAATTTCTTTGATGAAGATTGCCAAAACTACAGTGAAAACGATTATTTTAACCATGTTTGTACGTTTGTTGCGAATATGTTTACAGCCTGATGACATTTTGATATTCGAAATAGATTGGAAAAGTTAAGATTATTCGAGCTACTGTTTCTTTGTTTAAACTAATACGAACCATAAATGTCAATGTTTATAGAAATATATATATGAATCAAATAGTTCGCAATTTTTACTGTTAGTCTCTCTACGTCCTAGTAACCAGTGAAGTCTATTGAACAAGTTTAACGTGCATTACTCTCCAGTGATCAATTTTCACACGTTTCCATAAATTAAGAACACAAATTCATTATAAACTGATGTATAGTGATAGACTCCGTCTACAGAATTGTTCTCAACCAACACTTATTATCTCTTATGAATGTTATATTTTTAAAATAAAGAAACTGTAACTTTCAATGAAATTGAGTCGTATTTATTAAAAACAATTTTATTAAGACATAATAGCCAAAAGGATAACGTGGTAGTGTTTGAAGCAAATGGTATTGTTTTTAAGTCCTGGAGTGAACATCAACTATGTGATACAGGTACATCCAGCTAACGAGCTGACGCGTGTCCTGAATTTCACTTCTAGCCAACATCCATCTATGCTTATAATGCTTGTGACTTCAGGCAATATCGAGTCTATCAGTACAGAATGTACTTGCGTTAATAAGAGACTAATCAATTATAGTCCTAAACATCAATGAGAAGTTTCAAACAAACAATATAAAATGAATTTAATTCTCACAAATGTTCCAATATATTCTACCAGTGGTGAAAAAGGAAAGAATTTTATTACATCGTCAATATTTACCAAAATAATACGATTATTTATTTCAAAAAAGAGTTAAAATCAATGTCATATGCTCTTTTATGAAGTTATACGTAAGCAAACTGCTTGAGTGATTAATTTAATTTGCATAAGTCTGTTCACATAAAGTGAATAATAAAATGTATGTTTGTTAAAATGTGTGGCAGTTGGAGTGTAAGGCATTCATTTATAATCAGGTTATTACTGACTAAAAGTATCCTCAATATAATAACTGGTAATTTTTGTATCTTATGACTGAATATACGTTTCTGGGCAAAGGAAATAGAATCGAATTTTTTTAGACTTTAAAATAATGTACTCTTAGGTAATATAAACTTATTCCTTAGAAACATCTCTTTTTGAACACGTTTTGTCAATATGAACGCGAGACTGAACACCCTTGGTTCGAATCCCGCAAGCGGGATCATGGATGCCCACTCGGACGAAATGGCCTTCCAGTGCTTCCAGGTTTTCAATGGTGGTCTAACATCATTTGGTTCGTGATCTCAATCAAAAACTTAATAATCTCCACAACCTCTATATCCAACTTATAAACTAAATGAATGTTTCTTTTTATCTTTACGATTGTTCTTATGGTATGTTGTTTAATGATTCTTTGTAATATTCCCATTTGATATAACTGAAAATTAAAATATAATGAAGTGATTATGAAGTTTACTGCTTAAGACGTTTTGGCTCTAAGGTAATTCTCATAAAGTTATAACTTCACCCCAATTTAATATTTCTCCCTTTCTCAAAAGGTTTGCAACAACTGTTACGAAACGAAATGGAAATCCTTCAACAATTGATTCAAATTCTTATTTTTTAACATTGACACAAGTTCGATTATTGTTATTGTTATTAGATGCCATTATTATATTGTCTAGATGTTTTAAAACATTTGAATTTATGCATAATATTTGGTTTGGTGATATAAAATTAATTAATGCCAATCATTTAATTCATGATCTAAATGATAATTCACAAATAATGATTGATTCATTTGATCATTCTATGCATCATCATTCACAACAAACACAACAAATACATAGTACTTATAATTCGAATTATCATTATCAACCTCAACTTCAAATAAGATCACCTAGACATATACAATTATCTATAGGATCTACACCATTCTTACATCCTGCATCATGCTCATCAAATTTACATGAATCAAATCATCATTCAATCTCTAATGTATGTTGTACTTTTGATTAGTAGAATTAATTCACTTTCATTTTGTTTAGATGTTGTTTTTATAAATGTAATAAATAATGTAACAAGTAAGAAATACAAGTACAATATGGGTGAACTTTGTATTTGTGGTTCATTTAAATACCTGCCATTACTATTAGTCAGACTGGAAGTAATTTATATATTTTATTAATAAAATAATATTTGATGAAAAAAATGGTTGCTATATATGAGAACTTTCGGACATAGAAAACAATAATCTTGATAAAAATACATGCATTTGAAGATTAATACTTTTTACTGCTTTGTAGAACCACACTTGAACACGTCCTCGTATCCTAATTGAAAGCAAGCGCTAGTTACGAATTATGCATCACACTCTATAAGACCGCATGAACTGGTAGACCGGACAAGGCAGCTTGTCTTAAAAAAATCTCCGTCGTGTAGAAAGTTGTTTTTATAGTCGTTAACAGTAAATTTTCATATACATTGGTTGGCCAACCAATTCAACATTCTCTTCACATGTGACAAATGTGTCAACCCCATAAGCTCAATTCCATGCTGACTGAAACAAGTTGGTTGTTTTTGAGTTTAGATATGAGACGGTCAGGTAGGATTAGGCCCAATCGAGACCCCAACGCAATAACACTCTTTCAAGTGGTCAGTTGATAGGTCTGCATCCATGCTGTTAAAATCAATATAGTCACATAAGTAGCACATAGTTTCAGTTAATGTCATGCTGGTGAATACAGAACTAGGGTGAAGTTACACATTTGAACAAAATGACTCTGGTAAGACTCAATTATCCCGATATTTGTTTTACTACATACATATTGAAGTTTCCATTGAGACAATGTAACAGATTATGTTTACATTGTTCTCAACACTAACTAATCAAATGCTTCTGCTGCTTCCGTAATACACTAATGAAGAATATATTCAGCAATTTCAAAACTAGTGAAAATGTATAATCTAAACTACCGTAATTTTAATTTCTGAAGTCTTCACATCAAAGGAACTGGTCTACTTTCGCTCGTCACCAGAACTAATTCATTTTCAAAATTATGACAAGTTTATTCCTATGATTGCTTGAAACGTGACTTCATTCAAAACATACTAAGCGGTACATGTGTATTTTCCCTTTTGTTTAATTATAGGAGTTCCCCACATCAATAGGCACAAATCACAATGAAGCAGTGATTGCCAACCAACCTATTCGTGTAAGTGAATATGAAAGAAAATCTTCTACAGGGATTAAAATAACTCAAAACAATCCACCAACACTGAATTTTGATAATGGAACTGGACGTTTTACAGCCTGCTACTGTTGTCTTGATGCTCATTATTTGCTAGTGATAACTGGTATTGGCTTATTATTTATTGGACTAGTTTTAATTTGGGCTACTGATAGACATGTTCGACCAGGATGGCTTTTAGCAAAGTGAGTTGCATTATTTCAATCTTTGTTAAACACTCATCTTTTAAAAAACGAATTTACTGATTTTTAGAAGTTTAAATATGTCCAATATATATATAAACTAAAATAATTATTGCACAATTGTTTCAAATATGGATCATAAGTATGGTTGGCATTAACTCAGAATGAAGATTCCTCTTCATCATGTTCCCACCAGTGTGTTTACTACTAACAACTTATTAGAAATTTTCAGGTAGCCGATAGTATTAAAGGATTAGATAACTCTGATGTCGGTCCCCAAACAGTGATCGATCAATTGTAAACCAACAACAAAAATTCACCACGAAGCTTATGTATATTTCATCTTTATTCTCCTTCCTCCTACACTATCTAATTTAGCTATTTTTATAAATCTTATTGGCATAATTATTATCTTGCAGATCAAACAGGTAGTTTAAAGTGAAAATAAGATTTCACATACATAGTTCCCTTCATCATCATGAAGAGAGTAAGAACAAAAATTTGAGCAGAATAACATGAATTCATTTTACTTCGTTTGGTTCTCGTCAGCAGCTCACAAATTGTGATATTTAAAAATCATAATTACAAAATACGTTGAAATTACTTACGTCAAAGAGTTTAGTTGGAAGTTAATTTGAAGGCACATCAGTACAGTACAGTAAGGGCGCAAATAAATTCAATAGAGTGAAAAAATATAAATATACACCTTATCTAAAAGAATATTCTACAACACTGATAGTAACAAAAGTTTAAAGGATTAGAAACAGGTGGTTGCGTATTGTGTAAACTCTGATAATAATTAAGGAGAAAATGAGTAAAGTTCAGTTAATTAAAATAAGATTAATAATGTAGAAGAGAGTCGAAGTGAAAAGATGTAATGATGTAATTAATTGGAAGAAAGGGTTGAACAAATTTTTTATGATGTGATGAAGGAATATTTGTCATCATGGCAAAGAAAGGCTAACTACTTTCTTTTTTTGAACATATCAATCAAGTTTATGACGCTCGATAAGAGTGCCTTCAGAAGAAGATTTGAAGATGTCGACGTGATGTCCTGTATCCAAGATATGTTTGGTAGTTGCTTTGTTGAAAGTAGTTCTTTCTCTTAATCGAAGACTTTTTGGAACATATACAAAAAAACCCAGGTATTCCCACTTTTCCTTTCGGCCAATGTAGATGCTGTAGGAGTTTCACGTAAATTTATAGATACAGTTGTCGGTAACATGAAAGGTTTGCTTGTACATAAGTAATAGTTCTTTGAGTTATGACACTAGTAATCGTAAGAGATTACAATACTGAAAAATTATATCAATGGTTTCAAGAAGTAGTATTTTAGTGAACAAAAATGTTACATTAAGAGAAACCGTGGACATACCAGCAACATTCAGCAAATTGGGTTGAATCTCTTAATGTGCATGTTACCAATCTCTGTTGGACTAGTTCTGGCTTATCGGCTTGTCAGCATTCAACTTTATGATACAGTGAACTGATCACTGACCGGATAGCTCCAAGAGGTATATCATGTTTTTGAATCTTTGGTAGATCGTACATATTCATACATAAGAGACAGCCATGAGTGGCGAGATCTTAGACCATTGTAAATAGAATTGACAAACATTTTCTTTTTTAGAAGTTCTCTAGTCCTGCCTATTATTCTTTTTTCTGACGAGTCAGTTAAATCTTTATTGGATTTTTCTACCTTAAATCTCAGTTTATAGTCTAGGATCAACTTGATCTTAGTAATATTATCAGTTGTGTTCATTAGAAAAACACCTGAACCTTTATCTGGTCGTGATTATGTTTAATGTTTCTTAAAGCTGTCAGATGTTCTTCGGATAGAATTTTCGACTTTGATGTCGGGGAAACAAAATATTGCTTGACAATATCAACTAACTTCGGTTCGAACCAGAACATTTTCATCCTTATTCATTGGATGTAAATCTTTTATCTAGTCAAATGAATTTTCGAACGGAGTCCTTGTATTAATCTTATATGAACTTGTTTTTGTTATGTGAAATTTTAGTCATAGTATTAAGGCTTCTGTTTCTATATTATTAAGCTTCATAGTTGATAAGTTATAAATAAACTTTAAAGGGTTTTCTGAGAACCCTACATATAATTGTTCTGTTATCAGAATTCTCGATAGAGATTTATGGAAGATCTTCGAAAACTTGATTGAAAGGTTATGGACAACCTTGATAAATTTTATCCAACATAAGATTTTTACGTCATTAAACACTTTATCTAAAGCACTGGGCTCACCCTTCAGTTAAATAATAAGTAAATTCGTTCATTCAGTATGAAATTTTGTGATACATTGGAAAACTTCAAGCAAAGTCGGTAGTTCCGTAATTTTCAGATATCATAGGTCTTAAGCAGTTGAAGATAACCAAACAAAATAAAATGAATTCATATCATTCTGTTCAAATATTTTTCTTGCTCTCTTCGAATCAGGGTTTTGTTGAAAATCAACTTAACATGCCTTAAGACTCACATCTTTTGTATGTACTCACAGAAATATCTTCCTTAGATTAGAATACAAATAAATCGTATTATATGTCCAGTGTTTGGATATTAGTAATGTGTAGGATGATTACGTAATAGTACTAATAATAATCTACATAATAATCTACATCTCGGTCCTACAGGAGGTTAGTCACGGCTCGGATAGCTCAGTGGTAACGTCTCTGACTGTGAAGCTGGGTGACACGAGATCGAATCCGCCAGGGAGCACCAGTTCCCTCAAGATTACAGGTACACCTTGCTGACGAGTGCAAAGTAGCACGAAACCCGGGTCCAGGGTTTCCATCATCTAAATAATCTAGAATTCAATACGTTTCATGTTAATTTATGATTTCAAATTAAGTACTTTTCTTAAAAGGTAGAATTCAGTCTTGTGGTTTAATCATTTGCCCCTTTACAATGGATTAGAAAAGTTATTAATATAGAAAGTATAAGCGTAACATTCATGTAAGCGATTTTACAGTATCTTAGTTAATTCATTCATAAAAAAATATATTATAGACATTCGGCAAGTTTTACTTACTTTATTCGGATATACCTATTTGATGTAGACCTTCACAAATACAAAATCTTTTTTTTCAACTTAATATCAAACTAAATATCATTCATCTTTGTTACCTTCGTAACAATTTTAAAAAGTTGCTTTTATATTGTTTACATTAAGTGTATATTTAGTGTATTTATATTATCTTATGTATTTTATTGATCACAAAACAACTCTAAGTTGATGATACTCATTAAAAACAGTAAATGAACACATATACATAAAATTTATAAACAATTTTAATAGTTAAGATCATGAGTCAATTGAAACTAGACCATCATGAGAAACCTAAAAGCACTGAACGGCCGTTTCTTCATATGGTGGGACTCCTCAGCAGTTCACATCCACGATCCCGCCTTCCAACATTCGAACCCGGGACATATCAGTCTCACCGCAAATGTTTATCATCTAGACCACTAAGCAGGCGTCCAACGCTGTTAATATCTAACTTCAACTAATCCACGACATTTAGCGACACATCCACCATTGTCATCAGTGAGTTATTATCCCACAACAGACCAGGTTGAACTCCACTGTTCACTGCTTCTCGCTAGAACTCCAGGAGATACCTCTTGAAGTCAGTTAATAGTGAGCATATGCTGATTAGTATCAGAAGGGGTTTTGTGGTGGTCTAGCTTCAATTGACTCATGATCTTAACTATTAAAATTACTAGAATATCCTTAAAACCCCTTCTCATAATAAATAATTTACTTAGAAGAAAAGATATACACAGAATTATTAAGTACATGTAATGTAATGATAGTAAAACAAACAAACAAAATCCAAGTTAAACTCTGAAATAATATTAAATGGATTAGAAAATAAGGTAGATTTATCAAAAAAAAAACAAATTTAAAACTGAAACCTATGAGAAAATGAAATATTACAATAATTTTAATGAAGTTTTGTTCTTTGAACTGGATAGTTTAGTTTTAGAGGTTTCATTGTTCTTCTGAATGACATCATCCATTTGAACTACAAATCTTCTTCATTATCTCAATTAAGAACAATTTCGTAATAAATAGATGACTGAAAAGAAATGAAAAAAACGACAACTAAATAAAACAAATAGATTAAGATGAAACATAGTAACACTAGAGAATAAGTAAATAGAACAATGAAATAGAATGTAAATTAAGTTATTTTAATAAGTCAACATGGCGTTCAACCAAAGAAAAAGAAATATTTGATTTATTTAAACAAGATTAACTTTCAAACTTTTTCTTTCATTTTGGCTATTGGCATGAGAGAATTATGATTAACAATAAATAAGTATAAACTAATGGCTTTATGCTTGGGAATATGTTAATTAACAAATTCGAAGAATCATCTGAATGTCAGTTTAAACCCGAGAGAAAAAGAAACTATTCAATAACAAGATTAAAGATATAAATATGATTACTTGGTGAGATTGTAATTTATGGACGACGTTTGAGCGATACTAAAGTGACTTTGAAAACGTTCACCTACAAACTAGGACTAAATGAGGGTTATAAACCAGTGTGAGGAATTATAATTATAATTTACAATTGATAGTTGAGATTAGAACTTAGATTTAGGGTTTTAATCACGAAATGACATCAGCTATAATGCCAAAACTCTATTTAGGTAAATGGATGAGTGAACTTCGCACCAAAATTCGAGACGTGTTATCTTATATCTAATTGGTTAATCCATAAATGATAGTCTCGCCGAATACTTTCGGTATCTCCGAAATTATTAAATAAGTAGCGAAATTTAAATCACTATACTGTGTGTACTATTATGGCGTATTGTAGGGGCTGGTACTATGTTAAGCCCACATAGGTTATTCTAGCCTCTGAATAGATCAATCTATTTATTCTTCACAAGCCAAAGTTTTACCCTGTCACTTATTCGTTCATTAACATTGACTGCTTTTTATATGATCATATGTGTGTTAATTACTTACCCTAT